ATAACAGACCAATGTTATGGCAAGGCCATGTTGCGTTCCAAGTTCCATACATTATGCTACTGAATCAAACTGAATTCTGTCGAAATGTCATGTATTTGCTGTGCATTCAGACGTTTTACACACAAACTGCAACGTCACTCGTATGTTATGAAACTGCGTCAGAAAGACCCTGTTTTCTAACATCGTTTTTTTGACATTTGTGCGGATTCTAGGTTGGGTTTTCTATCTGACAACCAGACTGCACAGCAACCACATGGCTTTCGTCAATATTTAGAAAGAATTCGTATGGAAAGTTCTTCATAACACAGCCTTGCCATAACATTGGTCTGTTATGCGGCAGAATCGGTCAATTTTTTTTAATAATACAACTGATGGTATATTTGAAAAAATCGCAATCATTGGCTCCAAGAGCAGTAAAGTAGATGGTGTCGACTATTTTTCTATTAACAAGTTGCATTTTTTGTAACTTTTGTTTATTACATATTGCTTACTTTTAATAAATATATTCCTAAAAAATACAGATTATTTTCGTCGTTTTTTTTAATATTTAGTTAAGTAACTTAACCTTTAACCAACCTTTTAACTTTAACTTAACTTTCAAGTGTAAATCTGAAGTATAAAATAATTTTTTTCACCAGCTGTCACATTATAAAATTAAGTTAATACGTTTTCGATAAATAAAAAAAACGTGAACGATTCGATTTGTTTATTTAATATCGAATATGTGTCAATTTCTTCAATTTGGCGAAAGTTTTGTTAACTGTGCCGAAAGTGTATTGAGTTCTATATGTAATATGAAGTATATCATATATCATTTATAATATGTTAAATATATTTTGAACTTTTGTACAATATGTATCAATAGCAACTTATTTATTACGTAAATCAACTGGGGCTTCATAACAAACTCAAAGTAGATTCAACCAATTTTTTTCACCTAATTGAGAATGCATATTGATATAAAGAAACCCTTTCAAAATTTATTTGTAATATAAACTAAAAATATCAAAATAAAATTAATGAATTTTTGTCTTAATTATAATATAAATCTCAAAACTCCATAAATATAATATTTAATATTTATAATTATTATATATTTTTAGTACAGAGATTTTAAACCCCAAACAATTCAAACATTAGGAAAATAAATTTAGAATAAATTGAAATTTGCAAGTTATGGTAGGTACTGACACAAAATTGTATATAATCAAAATAAATTAAACAAAGTAAATTAATTTGTGAATATAAATATACAATATTAATAATACAATTGAACAAGACAGTTAGCTATTTACCTGTCTTTTTGGATTTTGTTTACTTTATCCAAATCAAAATTGGGCAATATCAATTTTTCAACATTGTTAGTATTTGAAATAGATCACCATTTATTATTAACTTCCCGAAGGAGAAGTTTATGTTTTCATCAAAAAACCCGATTCGCTAATTTTATGTTTTCTCGACGTTTCAAGCCATTCTGAATCGAATGAGACCAAATTTGGAAAAAGTATGTGTGTGTGTGTGTGTGTGTGTGTGTGTGTGTGTGTGTGTGTGTGTGTGTGTGTGTATGTGAACAGATTTTTTGCCGTAAATCGACGTTTTCTCGAAAACGGCTGGACCGATTTCAAAAATTTAAAAGCCATTCGATGTATCTCGACGAGAACTATTGTTTGTCAGTTTTGTGCGACGATCGGCCAAGCCGTTTCTTTATAAATGGCAGAAAAGTGAAAAATTTTTCGTCTACGTTTTAGCCCGCAATTCTGAATCGATTTTGAAAATTCAAAAACCGTTCGAAAGATATTGGTTGGGAATCGTGCTGATTAGTTTTTGGTAGAGATCGGCCGGGCCGTTTTCTTGTAATAAAGTTTTTAAAAAAAAAATTTCGACGATTTTTATGATTATTTTTTTGACGATAGATACCATAGTCTTCTAGATCATACTAAAATATTACGGCCCTACGACAACTGGTTCAGCTTTAAAAATTCGTCAAAGTTTGCAAAAATCAGTATGGTCTTTTTGGCATTTGTCAAAATTAGACTTTTGATCGACGTTTTCTCAAAAACGCCTGAACCGATTTTAGAAATTTAAAAGCCATTTGATGTATTTCGGTGAGGACTATCGTTTGTCAGTTTTGTGCAACGATCTGCCAAGCCGTTTCTTTGTAATTTGAAAAAAACTTTTCGTCCACATTTAAGCTCATCCTACCGAACGATTTTAAAAAATCAAAAACTGTTCGAAAGATATTAGTTGGGAATGATACTGATTAATTTTAGGTGAAAATCTACCGAGCCGTTTCTTGTAATTGACTGTTGAAAAAAGTGTTAAATTTTCGTCGACAATTAAGCTCATCCTACCGAACCGATTTTAAAAAATCAAAAACTGTTCGAAAGATATTAGTTGGGAATGATACTGATTAATTTTAGGTGAAAATCTACCGAGCCGTTTTCTTGTAATTAACTTTTGAAAAAAAGTGTTAAATTTTCGTCGACAATTAAGCTCATCCTACCGAACCGATTTTGAAAAATCAAAAACTGTTCGAAAGATATTAGTTGGGAATGATACTGATTAATTTTAGGTGAAAATCTACCGAGCCGTTTTCTTGTAATTAACTGTTGAAAAAAAGTGTTAAATTTTCGTCGACTATTAAGCTCATCCTACCGAACCGATTTTGAAAAATCAAAAACTGTTCGAAAGATATTAGTTGGGAATGATACTGATTAATTTTAGGTGAAAATCTACCGAGCCGTTTTCTTGTAATTAACTGTTGAAAAAAAGTGTTAAATTTTCGTCGACATTTAAGCTCATCCTACCGAACCGATTTTGAAAAATCAAAAACTGTTCGAAAGATATTAGTTGGGAATGATACTGATTAATTTTAGGTGAAAATCTACCGAGCCGTTTTCTCGTAATTAACTGTTGAAAAAAGTGTTAAATTTTCGTCGACATTTAAGCTCATCCTACCGAACCGATTTTAAAAAATCAAAAACTGTTAGAAAGATATTACTTGGGAATGATACTGATTAATTTTAGGTGAAAATCTACCGAGCCGTTTTCTTGTAATTAACTGTTGAAAAAAAAATTTAAGCCGATTTTCATGGAAATTTTTTTGGCGATATACATCATGGTCTTATAGAACTTACTGTAATATTACGGCCTAACGACAAGTAGTTTAATTTTAAAAATTCCAAAAAAAGTCAAAGTTTGCTAAAATTATTATCGTTTTTTTTAAAGTAGGATTAATGAAGTATATTAATTACACTTTTTTTTTGATTAAGTCGATTATTTACACATTTCGGGAAGTTCATGTAACTTGCCTCAAGGCTAAATACCAAACCAACTAGTATTTATATTAACTTCCCGAAGGAGAAGTTTATGTTTTCATCAAAAAACCCGATTCGCTAATTTTATGTTTTCTCGACGTTTCAAGCCATTCTGAATCGAATGAGACCAAATTTGGAAAAAGTATGTGTGTGTGTGTGTGTGTGTGTGTGTGTGTGTGTGTGTGTGTGTATGTGAACAGATTTCTTGCCGTAAATCGACGTTTTCTCGAAAACGGCTGGGTCGATTTCAAAAATTTAAAAGCCATTCGATGTATCTCGACGAGAACTATTGTTTGTCTGTTTTGTGCGACGATCGGCCAAGCCGTTTCTTCATAAATGGCAGAAAAGTGAAAAATTTTTCGTCTACGTTTTAGCCCGCAATTCTGAATCGATTTTGAAAATTCAAAAACCGTTCGAAAGATATTGGTTGGGAATCGTGCTGATTAGTTTTTGGTAGAGATCGGCCGAGCCGTTTTCTTGTAATAAAGTTTTTAAAAAAAAATTTCGACGATTTTTATGATTATTTTTTTGACGATAGATACCATAGTCTTCTAGATCATACTAAAATATTACGGCCCTGCGACAACTGGTTCAGCTTTAAAAATTCGTCAAAGTTTGCAAAAATCAGTATGGTCTTTTTGGCATTTGTCAAAATTAGACTTTTGATCGACGTTTTCTCAAAAACGCCTGAACCGATTTTAGAAATTTAAAAGCCATTTGATGTATTTCGTGGAGGACTATCGTTTGTCAGTTTTGTGCAACGATCTGCCAAGCCGTTTCTTTGTAATTTGAAAAAAACTTTTCGTCCACATTTAAGCTCATCCTACCGAACGATTTTAAAAAATCAAAAACTGTTCGAAAGATATTAGTTGGGAATGATACTGATTAATTTTAGGTGAAAATCTACCGAGCCGTTTTCTTGTAATTAACTGTTGAAAAAAAGTGTTAAATTTTCGTCGACATTTAAGCTCATCCTACCGAACCGATTTTAAAATATCAAAAACTGTTCGAAAGATATTAGTTGGGAATGATACTGATTAATTTTAAGTGAAAATCTACCGAGCCGTTTTCTTGTAATTAACTGTTGAAAAAAAGTGTTAAATTTTCGTCGACATTTAAGCTCATCCTACCGAACCGATTTTAAAATATCAAAAACTGTTCGAAAGATATTAGTTGGGAATGGTACTGATTAATTTTAGGTGAAAATCTACCGAGCCGTTTTCTTGTAATTAACTGTTGAAAAAAAGTGTTAAATTTTCGTCGACATTTAAGCTCATCCTACCGAACCGATTTTAAAATATCAAAAACTGTTTGAAAGATATTAGTTGGGAATGGTACTGATTAATTTTAGGTGAAAATCTACCGAGCCGTTTTCTTGTAATTAACTGTTGAAAAAAAAATTTAAGCCGATTTTCATGTAAATTTTTTTGGCGATAATAATCATGGTCTTATAGAACTTACTGTAATATTACGGCCTAACGACAAGTAGTTTAATTTTAAAAATTCGTCAAAGTTTGCTAAAATTATTATCGTTTTTTTTTAAAGTAGGATTAATGAAGTATATTATTTACACACTTTTTTTATTAAGTCGATTATTTACACATTTCGGGAAGTTCATGTAACTTGCCTCAAGGCTAAATACCAAACCAACTAGTTATTATTACTATTATCATTTTATTTCAGATGGTTGGCAAGTATTACGAAATTGGTCCCTGATGCGTTGGGAGCTCCGATCGGCCCTGGCCAGGATTCAGTCCCGATATGGTGCCAGGCCCTACTTTGACATCAGCGTCCGCCAAGGATCCTGCAACGGCGGACTAGGATTGTCCAATTTCCAGACTGGTTCAGATGCAGATCTCCTGGTTGGATGTATTGTACTCAATCCGCCCAAATTGGGGTTGCCTCATAGGGATTTGTACTACAAGCCTTCGGATCATCCAGTGAGTTCGAATTTTGTTTTGATAAAATAGGTTTAATGATAAATATTAAATTACTGATATATGATAATGTGTCTTGCTGTATCGAGTTGCTGTATTTATTTTATTAACAAATATTATATGAAAAAGTAATAAATTTACATAGAATAATCAGAAAGTCCTTAATAATATTATCTTTCTGGCAAAGATTTTGGCGTTTGATCTAAGATGTTTCTACTATCTACCCTTAAGCGGTGGAGCGATCTTGTACTTTTATCCTTAACTTCGATGGGGTCTAATTTAAAAGACATTGCTCGTCCTCTACTTAATTAATAATTGTACTTCAAATTAATCGTATATAATTTTATTTCAAAAGTACGAAATAATATGCATACATATACAAATATTTTTGTTGTAGTTGTTTTCTAAATTTTTATTAACAAATGTATCAAACAATATGAAAAACAACAAAAATAATATATTTACATAGAAAAATCTGAAAGTCATGGGTATACAAGAATGTTAAAAATGGTACCAATTTTCATTGTATACAACTTGATCAAGAAGAAACGTTATAAAAAAATCTGCCTGTTAATAAAACAAGATTATATACTACTATAATATTTAAGAATAATAATTTTTGGACTAAGACTTTAATGTTTGATCCAAGATGTTTCTACCAACTACCCTTTAAGTGATGAAGCGATCTTGTACTTTCACCCTTAACTTCAAAGGCATCTAATTCAACGGATATTGCTCATTATTCGATGGCCTTAAATACATTACTTTACATCTACATACTTTTATAATTTTATTTAAAAAATACAAGATAATGCATGCCTACATACACAAATATTTTTGTTGTAATTGTTTCCTAAAAAATATAATTAGTTATGGGTCGATCAGTGCGAAAGGAACACACTATTATTAAAAATATGTCTGTGATTTCTTTTTGAGAAAATATTTTCATTTGAACATTGCTTTGTATTTCTCTTTTTAAAGCCAATTATTATTACCCTGAACCATTTACCCAATTATTGATATGTAATCTTTTTTTAATAATATTTAACTTGTTAGAACATCGTATGTTTTGCTATAAACCAACGGTCAAGAAACTTGATTAATCATTACCCCAATATTTTTTTGTCTAAGTTGATATTACCCCCATGGCAAAGAAATATTACCCCCATACGGTAGGAAATACAGTAAATACTTCTATATAGTAAATAACAATACGTACTTTTGACCCCTAAAAATGACATTTTTTACCATTTATGGTTATTTACTTCGGTTCCCCGACTACTGTTATAAAGTAATAAATCAAATAGCGCATATCAAGTCGAACATATGAATATGGTAAAAATGCGCCGGGTAGAATGTTAAACAACTACTTTTGTATTAAGACGACGACCTCTATTTTGTTCATATGTGTTCGCTTTAATAAGAGTCTTGGCTTTGCAATCACAAAATTTTCAGATCACATCACAAGTTCAAATGCCCGACCTGATAAAAAATAGTATCAGATATCAAACATACATATATAAATTTTCACCTGAAAATAATGATCAAAATACGAGTGAAAAAAGCTTTTTTAGGCATTGCTGCAAAAAAGTCGAATATCTTGATATGTATGTCAAAATACAATATCAAGTAGAAAGGACAACTATGGTGTTACTTTATAATAGAGGACAACTATGGTGTTACTTTATAATAGAGGACAACTATGGGGTTGATTTCTAATAGTTATCTGTAAAAACTAACAATTACTAAATATTTCTGCCAAAGAGACAATTTGTTATTAATAAGAAAATTTAAAAAATATTTTTGATTTATATAATTTTACCTTAAACAGATAACCCTGGCCTACAAACGGCTAATGCGTGACGTTGCAACCATGTTGGGAGCGACTTCAACCGATGCATCACAATTTAGTGATGACGTTTATTACTACGAGAGACGTTTGGCAGAAACTGCAGCAAGTTTGGGAGACATTGATGCTGACACCAAGTCAGTTTTTATAAGTTTAATTTAAAATATAATTCAAGCAAAATTTAACTAACTTTTTATTAATTTGTTTGCAAAATTGCAAATTTCCAAAATCACTCATTTTATAGAAAATTTGAAAAAGCTTCCAAATAAGTGTATCTGTTATATGAGATTAATTTTATTATGTTGTTTTTCTAAACCATTTCAGTAGAATGTGTATAATTAAAATTTGTAATGATTAATTTTAGTTTTATTGCACAGATTAATTAATTTTATCATTGAACAGTATTCTCGTATTTATTATCTCTGTAATTTACTTTATTCATATTTTCTATTTTTTGGACATGATAGTTATTATATATTTCTTATGATTTATCCATTTAGGTACGAAATAGTAACCCTGCAGCAGTTACAGTCAGCTGCTCCACAATTGCCTGTGTACGACGTCATAACATCAATGTTTCCTCGAGCCAAAATCAAACTGAACACCCAAATTTTGGTGCCTTCTCTTAAATATACCAGGAGACTATCTGAACTGATATCTACGTCAGACAGAGCGTAAGTTATTATTTTTAAGATAAATTGAGGTATAGCAAAATTAACAATGATTTACTATATATGTCTGAGGGGTCTGATACTGATTAATAATTTTATTGTTATAGTATATAACAATAAGTATAAGTGCAAATAACAGTGATTAGACTCGACGTTTATTTTATTAGCTAAAAGTTTTTAAACTACTGATATTCTTGTTATTGACGATTTTATTTTTTACTGCTCCTGGTTCTTAATCTGGTCAATCTGACAATAACTGGCGTAGATTGTCAGATATTGTAAGTGAATGTTTTTAGAAATTCTCATGTCATGTGTTCCGATAATATCACTAGTCGCCATTTTTAGCTCTTGTTTTTATTCTTTATGTCCCAGACCATCTCAATACTTCTAGTTTGGATATTCTCTAAAGGTTCAAATAATCACATTAAAGAATACTTAATTGTGTCAATTATTATTTTTGGTAACCTATATAATATTTAGTTAGTCATTATTATGATTGATTATTATCAATTTCTTTAATTATTATGTTACATTTTTAGGCCAATCAACAATTACATGATGTGGACTTTGACTCTAACCTACCTCCCTTACCTAAATTCCGCTTACCGCCTGGCCTACCGCGACTTCCAGCAATCCCTAATCACACCAGGGCCCTTCAAACTGGACCCTAATTCAAAAAGCAGTTCCTCTCAGCGTCGAAGTTACCCGACTACTACCGAACCACCTCCTCCCAGATGGTATGAGTGCGCCAAAGTGGTGCGAGATTGGGCAGGACCCATTTTGGAGAACCAAGAAATGGTTGTTGAAAGTGGTCTAGGAGTGGATTTGGATAAAAATGAGCCGAATATAGGTAAAGAGAGGGCGAGATGGATTTTTGCTAAAATGAGGAATGCAGTGATTGATGCTGTGCTTAAAAGTGTGGAGATTAGTGGGGAAAGACAACGAGAAGCTGTCAGAAAAGTGAATATATTAAATTGGATCAAATTGAATTGAATGTACTGCATAAGATATCTAATAGCCCCTTTTTTATTTCAGTTGAAGACGACAACTTTACAGATAGGAGCTCCAGCAGAAACTCATGTCAATACATATCGAGAAAGGTTTTACAGAGATTTCTCTGTTTTGAGAAATGCTTTCTTTGAGAATGCTCTGGCAGCTAGTGAACAAAAAAGGGCTATTATGGAAAATTCTTTGATACCTCCTTCAACTGGAACCCAAGGAGCTCATGATGTAAGAAAGAATTCACATCCAAAATATATTATTCTGTTGTTTCATTATGCAATAACGTTGCAATGATTATTTTTTCTAGTCAGCTGTATCAATGTTGGAATTTATGGTAAAGATGCCCCTGAGTGTGAGATTTTATGAACCTCAGCGTGTCGTCACATTGCCTCTTGCATTATTGCAACAACCGCATTTCCACATTGATCATCCTGTGTAAGCATTGAATATACATAATCTTGAAAATATTATAAACATGTCGTAGAGAAGTATATTAATTGGAACTTTTGTAGATCATTGCAAGTTGCCCGATTAGGAGTTCCCATAGGCGAAGCATTGTTTGCAAGTGTTTTCAACATTATAGCTGATAATGATACTGACGTTTTCTTGCAGTGCTTTTCTAGGTAAGATAATAATTTGTATTGGGTAATTAGAAATCTGATATCTTTAAAGCCTCTGCTTTAAACAGATTTTCTCAGACACATAGGAATGTTCGATCTAGATAAATTGACATGTCAATTTTAACAACAATTACATTAAATTATTGTAAAAGATACGATAAGTATTGTCTTCTACTGAATAATTGTACAACTGTTTTTGGGTTGCATTAGTTTTCCAATCTAGTATTTATTGGACTGATATCATTCCATCAGGTATTAAAATTTCAAAAATTTATTTAGGGTTTTTTATTTTTAGAAGCGATCTTTTATTCATAAAGAAGCGTTTTTATCGAGTTTCATTATGCTTTTTGAATTTTTTAAATCAATACAGCCATTTTTTTTGAGAAAATATTTGTACTACATTCACGGAATTATGACCGTTTAACATTTCTGTAATTGAATAAACTTTAATCAGTAAAACAAAAACACATCCAAGTCATTTAATGTATCCTGACTAAAAATGTAATTATTAAATATAACATGTAAAAATTTGGTCGTGTAAAGTGCAATCCAAATATATATATTTTTAGGCATAGACCTTATAATCCATTTGTATCATAAGGTTTATGCTTCAAGAGTATTAAAGATATCAATATTATAAAACGGTCTAAACGTATTTAGCTTACAATTAGATATTGAAATAGATTGTTTTACATACTTGATGGGGTAAATTTATTGTCCATCCACACTGAGGCTAATATTTAGTTTAATGTTTGCACTCATGAGAATAATAATAATAAGAAATGGTAGTATAGTGTGTCTGAAGGCAATTCCATGGTGTGAAAGCCACCATGGAAAGTCATAAATTAATTATTTACCTAACCTTCCTCATCTATCAACCCCATTACCACTATATTCTCCATCATTTTTTCAGACATTTCTTTATGCATTTTATTTTCCCAATTTCTGCTTTCATGCTTCCTGGTCCTGCGTTTCGACTTTCAGTTTCCTGCATTTTTACTTCTCGCATCAACCATCTGCATTGTTTTTCTTTCCATTCCGTTCAGTTCTTCTATTTTACCCTCGACTACGTCGTGTAGAAAGCACTTTTTTTGCAGAACGGGTCCTATCCAGTTTTTTTTGTTTTCAGGATCGTGCTCAGTAGATTTTTTTCTTTGCCCACTCTTCTAAGAACTTTTTCATTTGTTATCTTGTCAGTCCACTTTATTTTCTCCATTCGCCTCCTGCACCACATTTCAAAACTCTCCAGGTAGTTCATGTAGGTCTTCCTTAGAGTCCATGTCTCTGATCCAGACATAACACCTTATCAATCTCTTCCGCAAGTCGAGGCTAAGTTTGCACGTCAGTAGCGTTTTTTTCTTTGTAAATGCCGCCTTGCAGCTTGCGATTCTTGTCCGGATCTATCTCGTGCAGTATCCTTCTCTGGTCAGAATGCTTCCTACATATTTAAATGGTCAACGTCTTTCTTCCTACTGTTATCTTCAAAGGATCATCTCCTTTCGTGATTCTCATCGCTTTAGATATGTCGATGTTGATCTCCATATCGTATCTTCTGCCCACTTCGACGATTCTGCTCATTACCATAAGATCAGCAGTGTATTTTATTATGGTGATTTTTCTTCCTCCGGTCGAAAAATATCCAATGTCTTCAAATTCTTCGTTGACGAGCCATTCTCCTAACTTATGACAATATGATCAATTAATATTTCTATAATTTAATAAACATTATTCAACAAAACCAAAACCCATCCATGCCATTTAATATATCCTGACTAAAAATGTGAATTATTCTGAATGAAGTTGGTAACATGTCCGCATGAAAAAAGATTTGACAGCCACTCACACCTGACATAATATTGAAGTTTGTGTTCACAAAAATAGTTGTTTTAATAAAATTAAACTGCGTGGTTCCTTTTTTAATATAATGTGCGAAAAAATTCTTTACATAATGTGTTCCAATATTTCATTTTGCAATACTACAAAATGTTACCAACTGCTTTGCCAAATTACTAAATTGTACAATGAAATGTTTTCGATAACCTAAAAACTGAGAGGTGTTGATATAACTTTAAATTTAAAGAATTTAAAAAAAAAATGTTAGTTTAAAAATATCCATAGTAGTGCATCTACCGTATCGAAGTGTCATATTAATTTGATGCTTCTTTTTAAACATGCTTTTGACTGGTTAGTAACTTAAATAACATATAGGTATTTAATTGAATAAATGGATACATTTCTTTATTATTCATTCATAAAAGCACTAATTACCACCATCTTTCTACTATTAGGTCTACTGAAAAGTTGTGTCCCCATATCCGGGAAATCTGTAATACAGTACACAAATATTGGTGCTGTTTGTATTTCAGTAATAGTCGTTGTGATGTTTTCATCAGTTTAACTGTATTGCAAATTGAATGTTTTTGAACTTAATATGTCAAATCTATTTGACTCGCGTTAATTGTATTTTCAAATAAATTGTTCGAAGATGTACACCTGCGCTTAGAAGTTTTACTTAATGACTTCACAACTTGCCACAAGACAATCGGCATAGGTACAGCCGCAGTATCATCTATATTATTGTTTATCTTTGATATACTATATTTTGATATATTTTATTCTAAAAGCAATTATTTTGTTAAAACAAGCAGAAAGTTTTTTTTTTAATCATTCAAATTGGACACTTAGTTAACTCAAAAATTTTCATTTTTTGCACATTTAGCTTTGTATCGTTGAAATGGCTGAACCTGCTTTTGCCAAAAGCTGATCACTACTTTTTCCGATCATTACCAATTAAATGTTTTTTTGGATCATTTAAATCGGATACTCATTTCTCTGAAAATTTCGATTTCTATTTTCTGCACTCTTTGCTTTGTGTTTCTATAGTGGCTGTACCTGCCTTTGGCAAAAACCAATCAGCATATCTCCCTATCTCCCCTTTGAGGTATGCCAAAATGTTCAGAAACCTTTAAAACGTGAAGATATGCAAAAATTTTCATTTTTGGTCCTTGACTATAATTTACCCTACAGGAAGTTAAAAAAAATGAAGATGTCCAATGAGCATTTGTTCAGTTTTTTACATTTAAAGTTGAAACAATTTTTTTAAAATTGGATGAACAAACTGCCCTCATCCTGCCGAGAAATCAATAATAATAATGGCTATTATATTATTCAATAAACTTAATTTTCGAAAGAAAAAAAAATTGTATTCTTATTCCACAAACAGATAGAACTTTCCGATAGACCTGTTATGCTTAACATAAGAGCATACAATTTGCACCTTTTGTTTAATTTTGTTTGTGTATTCATATAACCAATTTTCAATAATTTTACAGGATCATTTATTTCAAATAGTAGTTGAATATATAAATAATCTGAGCATCTTCAAATTGCATGTATCTCAATTCATTCACATCTTTTGTAGGGATTAATTATTTATGAAACTAACACATTATATTAAATGTTATAACACATTAAATACAATCAATGATATTTTGACTCTGTATGTACATTAATGCAGTTCCATCATTTTTGATGTCATCTATGATCACAGTAAAAAAAAAAAATTCTGCATGCTTTTGAAATATCTTATTAATCAATGTTCTTACTGCAAATTGTGACAATAATAATTTGTTGAGTTTATCTATAATCATACATTGATAATTGTATATGGAAAGTTTCTAAAATTTAAATTATATTAAATTTTTAATCAAACATTGCACACTTTGCTAAATAAACTACTTGGTGGTGATCACTCTGATTAGATATTAAGCAGACTTTAAATAAGAAATATTCTATCACTACAACAAAAGTGAATAAAACAAGTATTTTTTGTGCGATATATATTGATGTTTAATCTGCCACCTTCTTCTTTGTTACTTTCAATAGTCTCTCAGTTATTATAATTTAAAGGTATTTATATGTATACATTTATACTTGCTACCTCGAAGGGTTTTGGGTTTAATTGTAAAAAGACCTGATCAAATCTTGACCGCTACTAGTGTATTAATTTCTATTATATGATGCATTAAATCACTACATATTTTTATTACACCTTCAATTTACCAATATTTTTCATGCTATTTTTTCTATTACAGACATGTTCCTATTGAAACTGGTAGAAGAGGCATAGCTCTTAAAACTGCTTCGATTCATTTATCAGCAGTGAGAGCAGCTGCATCAGCTTTGCATAAAATACAAAGTCAAGCTGAATATGATTCAGAATCAGTAGAAAATGACAATGTATATGATTTGAATAACAATAATCGTGCTAGAAATAGTGAGAGACAAAGGAAAGAGTTTCAGCATGGTCTGGGTGATATGAATTCAAAGCAACTGTTTACGTTGGCTTATGCACAGGTAATAGAATAGGAAAAGAATTTATTAAACTATGTTACACATTGCTTCACATAAATAAAAATATAATAAAAATGTATTTATAAAACAATATGGGTTATTGGGCAAATGATGTTTTGGTCATTTTTTTTAAGTACATTATTAAAAAATTTAGTATGTCCTAGTTAAGCAAAATAAGATAAGGCTTATTTGTTAATGGAAACACCAAAAGCTTTCTTGTAAAAATTATGGTTGTTGTTCTTTACCAGATATTAAAGTAATTATTTCAAATTTTTCTCAGATTTTTTATATACCATACTTTTTTATTGATTATAGAATTATGTATGATGAAACCAAAGCAAAATTTTTGTCTAAATTTTATGCTAATGCTTTTTTTTATTTCAGACAATGTGTTCCAAGTCAACTCCAGAAATGGAACAGTTATCTCCTTTAATTAGAGGAAAGCTGTCGGATCACGATCTGTAAGTCTTCATTTCTTTTTATTTTATGCATGTGTATTTGCTTTTATGCCATATATATGTTCATACATGTGTAGATGCAATATTTTGCTCGACTAACACATCACATCATTTCCTAAGTATTAATTTAAATAGTTGTTATTAGATGCATTATAAGAATTTTCATTGAAATTATTTGCACAGAAAAAATGTTCTGGTTTAATTGATCATATATACATATAACTTTATCAATCAAGTATTTCATCAATATTTATTCAGTTACATTAGGTTAATTGTATTTTTGTGTAAAGTTGAGTAGCTACATTCAGTATTGTGTGGTAATTAACATTTTTATGCTAACTTTTGCCATTGATATGGTTTTTATGCCAATATTACGTTATTTGATAAGAAATTTATCCAATGATGTTGAGAATTTACATAGAAAATATTTTATTCTATTTCTATTAACCATGCTTTTGGCAGGCCTGTATTATTGAATTGTTTGTCCAATTTGATTAGGCACACCGTATCATCAAATATCATGTCTAATTAGATGTGGTAGACTGTGTTATCGAATTGTGTGTTCGATTTGATGCTTGTGTTGCTTTTGGCAGGCTTGTATCATCAAATTTCATGTCTAATCTGGTGTGATAGACTGCATCATCAAATTTTATGTCTAATCTGATGTGATAGACTGTATTATCAAAGTGGGTGTCCAATTAGATGCTTCTTATGCTTTGGGCAGGCTTGTATCATCAAATTTTATGCCTAATTTGTTTTGGCAGACTATTAACAAATTGTATGTCCAATTTGATGCTTCTATTGCTTTTGGCATGCTTGCTTCATCAAATTTTATGTCTAATTTGATTTGGAAGACTATCATCAATTTGTATGTCCAATTTGAGGCTTATGTTGCTTTTGGCAGGCTTGTATCATCAAATTTGATGTCTAATTTGATATGGCAGACTGTCATCATATTGTATGCCCAATTTGATGCTTCTGCTGTTTTTGGCAGGCTTGTATCATAAAATTTTATGTATAATTTGATTTGGCAGACTGCTTCACCAGATTTTATGTCTGATTTGTTGATTTTGGCAGACTTGTATCACCAAATTGTCTAGTTTGATTCAGCAGACTGTATCATCAAATCGTATGTCCAATTTGATGCTTGTTTTGTTTTGGGCAGACTTTTATAATCAAATTTTATGTCTAATATGATTTGGCACACTGTATCATCAAATTGTATGTCTAATCTGTTGATCTTGGCGGACTTGTATCACCAAATTGCTTTTTTAATTTGATGCTTCTATCACAGAAACTTTTGGCAGACTTGTTACTAAAGTAATGTAGGTATTTAGTTGAATAAATCAAAACATTTTTCAATCATACATATAGAAAATCACTAATCATCATGATCATATCAAGTGTAGATTATTCTGATTAGCCAGGAGTATAAATGTTGTACTTTTTTTTTCTTCTTTGTTAGCAGTTTAGTTATTAATCTTAACTTTTTGAATTAAAGATGTCATGTTTTCAATGCACAAGGTTCTGTATCATGATGTCATTTCATTCATAGATCAGCTAATTTTTTTTTCTTGTTTTACTATGTCTAGTCTATGGCTTCATGTAGAAGTCACTCATGTCTCTTATTATTGTATCTAGTAAAATTATATTTGTCACCACTGTTTATGGTACTTAATCATTTGTGATTTGTTTGGCCCCATATTATCTTATTTATTTACACCACATTTTGAAGCTCCTCATACGGCTTTAGGAATTCAGTTACAAATATTCCTCAGTTCTCATCATAAATGCTTGTTTATGTGAAAACCAATAGTTTATTTTCAGTTATATTTCCATAAGTACATTTTATTTAATTCGATTCATTTATCATTTCATTCATTTTGTAAATCATTATTATTATATAGATATATATTTTGTTGCTTGGTAGTTATGATTGCTTTTGCATTTATTTTCATTTTATATACATCATCCTTTCTAGAAAATGTATATAAATATTAATTTTTAAAATTATCTCAGATTTCTGCTGTCCTGGACGAGAGTGAAAGATTTGCGAAAATCCGTTGATGTAAGTTGTAGAATACGATTCTTGTCCTAGTTCGTTATAAGTATAAATTTTTATGAAACGTTTAAATAAGTTTTTTATTTCATTAATATGAGAAAGTATTATGTTATATTATTTAAGTTTTATATAAGATCGTTTAGTATATAAGTGCAATATTATGTTTTGACATTGTTAATCGTACAAATATATTTTTAAACTTAAATTAAGCTTATAGATAGTCTGCTGATATTATAAAGTAATTGCATAATACTGAAAAGAACTTAATTGTGAGACTAACAATAAATAAATTGTTTATTTTTTTTGTACTGCCGTCTTAGACATAGTTGTGTAATGACCTTAAACTTGTTATTATAAGATTAATATCTGACAATAACCATCGAGGTTTATGAAACTAATGTATCTTTATATATCATGGCAATTCATCTAAAAGGAACTTTTGTAAAAGGAAAGATGGAATTTGACTTTGGATTTTGATTAATAAGTTGAACTGATTTACATTGTATTTTTATGTGTATCATAACATTCATGAGGTTAAGAAAAGAAAATTGAAAACTGCTTTTATTTTAACTCTAACTACTTCTAAAAACAGGTGAAAAGACCAACAGTTAAAAGATGAGAATTGCATTTTATTACAAAGACCTTACTTTTGAGCCCTGCTAAGATAGTCACGATGTATGATTTATTTCTTTTAGGCTTATGGGTCATGTGCTGATGTCCTAAAGAGAACTAAACGATTTTTTTGTAAACTGCCATCCTAAAATTAATATCTCAGAATGTCCTTACTTTATGTCATAGACAAAATTAGTTGCATATTATTCTATCCATACCCTATTTTATGTATAGTTCTTGTTTTGATGCTGGTAGTAAGAGAATGAGTCCTGTTAGGTCTTCCGTTCATTGGATTGGCTTTGGATATCTTCAGTACATTCTATCTCTAACTTTTGTCTAGCTGACTCTTATTTATACTAGTATGATAATAAAATAAAAGTATGATGAATAGATGTGAGCAAAACTGAATTGAATTCCTGGGAAAACTGAATGTGTATTGAACAGAAACTTTTTTTTCTTCTGAAAACTATAACAAACTTGGTTAAAGATAAATGGCAAATAAGATCTTATTACTTTGTTATAACAGGGGAAGAAAATATGATCTAAAATCATGTTTGGAATTATTACAGGATCTTGAATTGCAGATGAAGCGGAATAATTAACGAATTTAATTTATTATAGAAATGAATTAGGTTGAAAAATAAATCACTTTTTTTATATTTACATTTACAATATTTTACACAAAGTACTTTCTATACATATTATGTTACAAAACAATATTCTTTAAAAAATTATTTTATTGTAAGTTCGTTTTAAGGTGTGATCTTTGAATTTAAAATGGGTTTTATATTCATGATCTACTTCTTTTTATTGTAATTCTTTTATCCTAAATCATTTCTCATTTAAAATTTTAATTTTTTTTGCATTTTGTGACTTGGCATCCTCAGTGATTTCCTGCCACCAATTTGTTGACATTGTGTCAACAATGGTTTAGTTTAATTGAACAACCTGAGATCCAGGTTGTTCTTCAGGTTTCTTCTGATCCATCGTGGATCGTGGACGTCGGTTGTGGACCTAGTGCTCTTCAGGCATCGCCATGTTAATGCAATTCTTTAAATTGGTGGTTTAAATGTTACTTAAACAGTTTCTGCCTGGTTGTTCCAAAATTTGGCACACAGAATATAATATCCACCAATTCTCACGAGTGTTTCGGGCGTACCATAAGGGCATTTCATGGTGAAGTGCCACTGTTCGTGGAGCCCGAATCTGGAATAGAATGTCCGTCCCTGCGCTAGAAGCAGAAATCTTAAAAGCCATTCTCCCAGACACTTTCTATCTGAAAATCAAGTTATTATTCTAAATAATTTTGCTTCGTAGTTATTCAGAATCATAGTAAGTATTTGTGTAATGAAGTTTAAAATGTCAACAAATACCAATGCCAAATAAATTTTATGACGTCATTATTAAAAACAAGAGTCAGGGAAAAGTCTATGGAGACTCTGAAAAAAAATTCAAGTAAATCGTACCAGTAGAAGTTGAGAAATGGTGGGTATCTGTGGATATTGTATCGAAGAAAACAGCTTCAAGAAAAACTTATGTAAAAAGAAAATTACTTATGTATCTAGTATCATACTTACGTCATTTTATTCATTGTGTCTTATGCATAAACCTGGAAAGCGCCTTCGGAGAATTGATCTGAAAAGTGGTATTTCAATTTATAAGTTTTGAATGATATTTTATCCTAATATTGTATTAAAATATTTACATCTTCTAATTAAATATTTCTATTTTTGCCTCTAACGTTATATTGGAAGATTTTCGTATTTAAATGACAAATCTAATGTTCTGTTCTTCAAAAAATCTGCCGATGGAATTTTATTTTGAAAATCTTGAATATAAATCGTATTAATTTTTTATCTAGGCATCAGTCACTGCCTTTCGGTTAGTTATAGTAATAAAATCGAAAATTAAAAGGCCTGCATATATTTACTTTTTAAAGGTTTCTTAGCATGTATGTATGCGTCCACGATTTCGGGCGCACGGATCAAATCATTTTGCTTGTGTTGCAAGTCTGAAGAAAGGATTAGCTTTTGGGGGGAAACATTTTTTTTAAATGTCGAAATTGATTCGGGTTTTAATTATAATTCTAGCTAAAATTCTAAAGCTCGCTTACTTATATAGTTGAGATAAATAATTTTAACTTTGCAATTCAGTTCATATAATTCTTAGAAATATGAGATGAAGTCCTTCATTCTAACTACGCTTGATTAAGATTTATTTATTTACTTTTCATGTAAACATATATAAACGTCGTCGTTTAATTTGTAAGCTCTCTTGTATTTTATCTATAAAATTCGAATAATGAAAGTTACAGTATTTTTTTAATAATCAATTTGAAAACTTTGAAAATTCAATTAGTTTGTTTTAAGACACGATGCCATATACCACTAGTTTAAATAACTATGAAGCAAAATTATTTTATGAACAGAATAGATAATAACTTGCTTGATCCACGTGCGGCTTTTGTTCGCACAGGATCCACTTTTGTTCGCACAGGGACATTCCATATCAGACTCGTGCTCCACGAACAGTGCACTTTAGCAGGAAATTGTCCTTGTGGTTTCCGAAACACTCGTATGAATATAAAGAAAAGATTTCTTCTGATTTTATCCGTGGTGCAGTCTTTTATCGGTTTTCTAGAAAATATTTTTTTTTCAGTTTTGTTCAGGCATGTTTGACGGCGTCTCCTGCAATTCTGTATACGACCGAAGAGGGAAACTTTGCTCTCGGTCACGACTTGCCAACAATGGCATCTTAGATTCTAAAAAAAGAAATAAATTAATAATATAGTTTTTTGAACGTTTCTGGGATTATAATATTGACAAACTCAATTTTTAGCATTTCTAATGTTGATGCTTTTGATATCGCAATGTAATTTGGAATTTTAGCGACAAATAATCATAATCATAAACTTTTTTCATCTTTCCGTAGGGTAAGTTATAATAATCACAAAAATTAAAACTGAAATTGTTTTGCATATCTTAACGTTTTAGGGTTTTTTGAACATTTCAACATACCTTAGAAAACTACAAAATTTTCAAAAATAAAAATCGAAACCATTGAGACAATTTCTGGAAAACATTCACATAAGTAGTTTGTAGAATACGCTTGACTACAAATTTGAAAAGCTCTTGTAAATTCGCAGTATTTTTAATAATAATATTTGACAATATCTAAAACAATTTTTCTTAATTATTTATTAACTTTTATTGATTATTGTTTATTTTTATTCCTCAAATGTTTATAACGATACAGAAAGTTGCAGCAATTTGCCTTAAACACCTTAAATTATTGCTATAAATTATATAATTAAATTAATCACAATAATAATCATAAAATAAGTATATGAAAGATAATACTCGAATGCAATTATAATAAATAGCAAATGCTCTTTTATAAATTTGAATTATCATACAAAAATAATGTTAGCTAATGAAACCCAACACAAATTTCTAATTATATATCGTAATGTATCATACTTACTTAATTTTAGGTCTAATGACTCATCAGAATTAATCAGTTTTTCATTCTCCACCCGTATTTTCGAAACTTGAATTTCTTTAATCCTTGTTGTTCATTCAGTCAGCTTCAATTATTAAAAAAAAAATGTCTAATTACTATTGGTGAGTAAAGTACATTTTTGTATTTGGAAAATTAAAATTTTTTGGGTTAAATAATATGCATTATCGATTGTTTGCGATAGTCTTTTATATCATAAATATACTACTAGATTTTAAAATCTGATTTCGGCAAAAAATGAATGCAAACTGTTTTTTATGAACTTAGAGGGCTTTGGCATTTAATCTAAAAACAAAATTTAAAATGGAATCGACGCATTGAAATAAAAATTAAATTCTTTGCATATATTTTGAATTCGAACATCCAAATTTCCGGACGCATCGAGACAAAAGGTGATAATGTGGAGCTATTTAAATTTAATGAAGATTTATTTCGAACTATATATCTGAAACGTGGTATTTCAATTTATAAGTTTTCAATGTTATTCATAATATGCTAATATTATATATTAACCACATTTAGATCTTTTAATTACAAATTCTTATTTTTGCCTTCAACATTATATTGAAAGATATGGAAGTATTGGTTTTAATTTTTTTGCTGTCGTTATTAATTTAAAAATATTATGTTTGTTTTTTGCAAAATCTGCCGATTGAATTTTATTCTGTAAATCTTAAATATAAATTGTATTCATCTTTTATCTAAATATGATTAGCAATTTCAAGATACCAATGCAAGTTTCATTTTCAATAAAATCAATGAATTTAGTTGTAGTAGGCTTTTATAAGTTATTAATTTTTTTTAAGTAAAAATTATAAAAAATGTCTCGTGAGCAAAGTAGGTTGAAATCCAATATTATAATTTATTCTCTAATTATTAATTCTTTTTACCGCAAAATGAATAAACGTAGTTTTCTGGATTAAAAGCAAAAAACAATCTGACTGATTTTGATTAATAGATCATAACTTAGTTTTCAGATAGAAAAGTATGCTTGATCTTGTCGCCTATTCTACGAATAGTTCACTTCACCATCGAAATATTTTTGTGTTGTGCCCAGAGATTATTAAAAACTTCAAAAACGGATTGGTTGTGATTTTATTACTGGTGCAAACTTCTATCAGATTTTTAGAACAAGATCCTTTTTTCGTATCATGGAGCAAAAATCTCCTATTTTTGTCTGCAATTGGAGACTTTGCCGAAGATTCAAACTTTGCTCTATGCCACAGCTGGAGGACATTTCAGATTATTATTGTGTGCATTGATTATAAAATCATTTTTTTTGTATTTCCAATGTTGATGCTTTTGATATCATATTATTTTTGGATTTCTATACAACGCACAGGCGAGAAATAACAAATAATGATTATAAATATCTAAATTTAAATGTACGGATTGAAGATTTGTTTAATAAATGTCTTTTTATATAATGCTGTATGAAAGTATATGTGGAGATGTATCATAAAGTATTAAATATCCATGGTTTTGGCATCAACAGATATGGGTTAATTAGTTCTGGGTGAAAATCATGATGTTAAATATTTTTATAGAAGCAGTAATTCAAATACTTGTTGTAAACATATAAATTATTTTACTGTATGGTGCTTTGTCAGTTCATTGAGTGTATAGTTTTAATATGTACTGGTAAATGAATACATTAATAAATAATGGGCTCGAAGGTCTACAAGCTGACAAGACTGTACTAACAATCTTCTAATAACTGAAAATATAACAGCAACATTTGCTAAGGCTATTGAAGTTTTATTTTCTATATTTCCACATGCCCATCAGTTCACTTTCATAATACAATTTCAATTGACCTTTCTTTCTTTGGTATAAATTTATACAGTAAACTAACCTGGGGACAACAGTTAATTTTAAAAATGCTTATAGTTGAAGATAGAGCAAAGTACTGTACTAGTTTGCAGGAAACAAATCCAAGTCATTCCTTGAAAATAGGTTGCTTATTAAGTACAATAATATGGACTTATGGCATCGAATTGTGAGAATGTTCAAGTAAGTCATATAAATTGATTTAAGGCAAAGACTATATCATCAGGTGGATCACAAAATTTCCATGGTACGTCAACTAAACTATTCAGAATGATTTAAATATACCATCAGTGATGTCTTAAATGACCACAATCCAGGAGGCTTAAAAGATAATAAAAAAGACAATTATCTACAAATTTATCTTAACAGATTAGCAACACATGTCAGTTAATGAAAATTAAATCAAAAAGACGACAGGATCACAGGAACAAACTGTATAGCAAATGAAGAAAATATGTTGACCATGATTAATACAAAGAGAGCTGTGTTGGTAAATCATTCAATGTGGGATTATTATTAAATTTACAGTTTTCAGCCTAATTATTAAATTGTGCTTCTACGTATGATTAGTGTAAAAAATAAATGTATAAAACAAAAAATACTTTGAATTTCTGTCTAAGTATTATTAGGTAAATGTAAATATTGTGCTTCAGTTAAGAAATCTGATATCAGGAAATGATGATAATCAGGAGTA